CCCCCCCCCCCCTCACTCCACACACCTCACTCTATCTTCATCTCTCTCTCTCAATCTCTCCCTAATCTCTCTTTAATTAAAAAAAAATTATATATCTACTTAATATAAATTTTATCTAATCTCTCTTCCTCTCCCTAATCTCTCTTTAATTAAAAAAAAAATTATATATCTACTTATTTTTTAAATTCAAAATGTCGAGCTTTCTTGGTCGTGGCCGTGGTTCGAAGTCCGGGGCCTCCGGGCAAAAGCGGCAACGGCAAGGCGCATCGTCTTCGACACCTCCATTGCCCTCATTTGCGAGTCCAACGATACATGTCGATGTCCCGGGCGTGACCGACGATATTGATGCCGCCACAATCGATCGAATGTTCGATGTCGTTCAGCCTTCACCCTCAGTCCAACCGGCAACGGGTGTACACGAGGTGGACCAAGAGCAGCCGTACGAGGACCATCTCGACGATCTATTTGGAAGTACTCCTCCGGATGAGCAGCCACAACAACCCACACAGCCGGTCCGAGTTGTCGGGGGCGGTAAAGTCAAAACTCGGGATTCCGTCATGTTCGACCGACATTACACGAAGGCTCCAAATGAAAAGAAGGAGGTGATCCTTATTTTCTGGCTATTTGCAACTACTGTCCGGCCAATTCGAAGACGAAGTATCAGTTCAAAAAAGGCGACGGGTACGGGACGTTGACCCGACATTTGAAGAATGTTCATCCGACCGTCATGGGAATCGACACGGCACAGACGCAATTCCCAAGTAGCAGCGGAGCATCCGCCTCAGCCACTCAAGGTGCAGGTACGTCTTTATTTCATTACTCTCATGAAAATCATAGACGTCATTTAGGTGAATTTGTTTCTGCTTCGTCTCTTCCTTATAGTTTTGGTGATAGTGATTTATATGAAAATTTTGCTCAAATGGCTTTAAATCCGTCTGCCAACCGAGTTCCTCGTACCACCCTTACTCGCGATATTTGAAAAATCGTGAGTGAGAAGAAACTAATTTTAAAAGAAAATTTTAAATCTTTAAATCATAGAGTATCCATTTGTGCTGATATATGGTCCGATCATTGGATAAATAATTTTTATTTAGGGATTACTTGTCATTGGATTGATGATAGTTGGACTTTAAAAAAACGTTTAATCGCTTATGTTGCATTTCATGAACGACACACTGCTTCTAATATTGCTCGCTTAATTTCAAAAATCTTAGATAAATATAGTATTGGTAAAAAAGTATTTTCAATTTCATTTGATAATGCGACTGCAAATACTGCATCTATACGTGAATTAAATGATGTTTGTACACCAATCTGTGGGGGTAGATTTTTTCATATTCGTTGTATATGTCATGTTTTAAATTTGTGTGTTCAAGCTGGTTATCATGCTTTTAAGGATTCTGTGACGCCAATAAGGGAGGCCGTCAATTATTTGCATAAACGTCCCCAGGAAATGAAAGCATGGGGACGATTTTGTAAGAGTGTTGGAATTAAACCTAAAAAATTCCAGCCAGACGTGCCTACCCGGTGGAATTCAACATTTAAAATGTTGAATGTCACCGCTGATTATGCCGAGCATTTACAGGATTTTTATAATGATCCAAACCGTAGGGATTGTGATGTTCGACTTTCGGCGAATGATTGGGCAAACTGTTCACAACATACAAATTTTTTAGAAACATTTCAAAACGCTACTAATATTCTTTCTGGTGTTTACTATCCTACTGCTCAACTTTTGGTCAGTCAATGTATAGCTATAATGTGGGGTTTTAAAGATATTTATGACTTAGAACCTTTTAAATATTCTGGTCTAGTAGAAGATATGTTACAAAAATGGCTAAAATATTATTATTATATTCCCGATACATTTTTAATTGCATGTCTGTTAGATCCTACAGTTCGTGAGCAAGGTTTGTTAAATCAACTTAATATGTACTATGATTATATGTATCAATTGCCACTGCCGAGTGGGGTCCCGTCTTACAGGGACAAACCTAACATACCGCAGCTCGTCGAGCAAGCAAAAAATTCGTTGTATGACATGTTCAGGGAAACAGCGATCGCACATGGAGAGTCTCCCAGCACATTTGTTCGTAGCAGCGGCGCAAGCGGCAGCGGGTCTTCATCTTCATACGGAGGGCAAAGCGGCAATACAAACTACGGAAACTTCAAAGTGTTTTGGGATTCATTAAATCCCTACAAAAATTCGGGCGGTCAAAGGGTGCAGGGGACTGGATACTATGAGCTGGATCACTACCTTACGTCGAATTTAGCCGTTACGATTGCACGTCCACTTCAACCGCCACTCAATTTCGATGTGTTAGATTGGTGGTCAAGAATGGAAGGAATTTTTTCTATTCCATGCATTATGGCCAAGGAGATCTTTGCTGTCCCAGCATCTACAGTCGCGGTTGAGCAAGCATTCAGTGAGGGCGGCTACATGCTAGATCCACGACGGTCGAGGATGATGCCTGATAATCTTCAAGCACAAATGTTACTGAGTGATTGGAAGAAGGCCGAACGAAGGATGCAAACTGCTATGCTCACTTCGAATGAGAAGGATGACGACAACGACGATGCATCCGATTTTACGTCGTCGACAAGTGGAACCGGGGGGGGACGTCGAAGACGAATACGAGTATTAAAGGTATGCAGCCAAGGTATGTGATTTAGAAGAACTACGTGGACTTTGATTCCCAAATAAAGGGATACGTAGGCACCTTATTTAACATTATTAAGTTCGGTTATAATTTTTTGGCATCAAAATTTTTCATCGTACACGATATTCGAACTTAATAACTGTTAACTAAGCTCAAGTCCATTCCATTAATAATTTTTTTCTTTACACTTATTTTTTAAGTATATACAAACTATTTATTCAAATAAACATTAATATACATTAAAATAAAAAAAAATAAAATTAAAAACCTGTAAACCCGGCGGGCCCGACCCGAACCCGGCTCAACCCGCCGGGTTTTTGACCTGGCGGGTTAGGGCCGGTTCAGTGAACCGGCCCTTACTTACCAGCGG